CAATATTTTTTGCAAGTGTGTGCATCTCAGCACACCATTACTAATTGTGGCTTTTACACTCCTAATAGTTTCTAACTAGAGAAGTACGTATAAAAATATTACACAAAGGAAACGCACATTCAAATCACATAAGCTATAGACCATTTCATCTACATAAAAGCTGCATAAAATACCTATCTTAAACAGCAATGGGCAACTAACTACATTATATGTATTATGCTTAGGTCACCAATTACTCAGAGTATCCTTATTTTGGTGGGTCTTAATCTAATTGTATTGATTGTATGGGAGATTAATCTTTTTAACTGTTCTTCACACTGACCTTATCCCTTGATGTTTTAAACTTGAACTAAATTACTAAGTCTTGTGAAAAACGTAATATCCTTGAACAAGTGTCAAACTTGATGTAAGAATGAAATGTGTTGGATAAAGGATCTTTCGCCAAATGCAGAGCACCGTGAATAATATCCATTATAGGATGTTACATAGTACATAGTTTCATTAAAAAAAAAAATTCACCCAAGATGTATGTTATATTTTATCTAAATATATATATATATATATATACATATATATATATATATATATTTATATACATACACATATATGTTTTAAGGCCAAAGGTCAATATTTGTGGGAGAAGTTTCCCCTATCTAAACCCTATTCACCCTTCCTACCTGGGCCATTCCAATTCAGGTGATCCTGGTTTCACAGCTCAGCCCGTTTCTTCTGGTTCCTCCTGCGGCCTTTCCAGTCTCCGACTATCCAACGCCTCTCGCCTCCTCACTCATCAAACCTATACTGGCCACATAACCTGTCACACTGTATATATGTACTTGTGGAAATGGTCGTTCGGGCTATTTTCACATTTGGTCATAAAAACATGGGGATTTGGCTCCCTTTCTATTATAATTAAGTGTTCTTGCATAGCAAGACCACTTAATGTTATCTCACATATATATTATTATTATTAAGTGTTCTTGCATAGCAAGACCACTTAATGTTACCTCACATATATATTATTATTATTAAGTGTTCTTGCATAGCAAGACCACTTAATGTTATCTCACATATATATTTTTCTCATTCTTTTTATAGCCAAATTTACCACCCTAACTCCTCCCACAGTTTTTACACTACATAGACAGTAATATACCGGAACGTGCGGATTGTTCCCGATTGGATTGCTATTACTTTGTGGAACGTTTCGCCGAATGGTTCACAGAATATCGTCGTTCTTGTGGCGAAATTGGTCCCATAGGAATGAATGGCAAAATGTTCAAAACTTGAGTGGGAGCTGAAAAATCAGGACATGATTTCTAAACTGCTCCCACTCCCTCATTTGCAAGTCCATCTACACATATCTTATATCAAAATGTTCAGCTATCCCTGCTGCCACTAAAAATGTCCATGGCTACGCCATAGTCCTGATAGTTTTCACAATATGACTATTTGTTTGCAACTCAAGCCATCCATTGACATTCATTGAAACTCCACTCTAGCCAGCTCAGATTTGAAGGGCAATTTCTAAACTGCGACTGTGCCTTCATTTTAAATAGTTAAGAGACATGCTATCCATCAAATGTATTTCTGGGTCTTGTGATTCTTAAAATATAAAGCTCTTCATTGTAGGATGTATAGTATTTAAAATATGACTGTTTGAAGATGGCAACCGCCAAAATACTCTGACCTGTGCCAGGCTGGAGCAGCAAGTAATGTCATAGACAGGGCCTTTTGTACACCTGCCAATGTTTTTATAAATGTATGTTTTAATGTAACTGTGAAGCACTGTGGGCAACAACGTTGCAATTAAATGTGCTATATAAATAAATAATAACAGTTACTCCGCCGACTCCAGTTGTAGACTACTGGTCGAGGCAAGAACACTTCACACAATTTCCCCAGAAATTGTAGCTTTTCTAGTTTTGTCTGTTTCTATTCACTTTTTTCTATGTTTGTTCAGGGAGTTACTTTCATGTTTCCAATACATACAGTTCAATATTAAGTTTTGTTTGTTTTCATAGTGCCCATTCAGCACTTTACATTACTTACACCAATTCCCACTTGCTATTTCGTTTGCTTAGGTTTGTTTCTTGTATTCGTGTCATTTCGGGACATTAGCAGTACATTTGCAGTCTCAGTTTGGCATTCGTGGGTTTTAATGTTCGACACTTGGGCTTCTGTTCTATTAGGTCCTTAGAGATAAGTTGTTCGTTTTTAGTTACCATCAATACCACTTGTTTCAAGTTGACACAAGTTCTGTTATTAGGACCTGTTTGGTTGTTTTTCATGCAACTCACTTTCATGTAAGCCAAATGGCAATAGTTTAGATAAATTAGAAAAATGGTCAGAGCTGTGGCAACTGACATTTAATGGGGATAACTGCAAGATAATTAATCTTGGGCGTAAAAACCCAAGGGCAGAGTACAGAATATTTGATACCCTACTAACCTCAACATCTGAGGAAAGGGCTTTAGGAGTAATTATTTCAGATGACTTAAAGGTAGAAAGACGATGTAATAGAGCAGCAGGAAATGCTAGCAGAATGCTTGGTTGTATAGGGAGAGGCATTGGAAGTAGAAAGAAAGAAGTGTACATGTCATTGTACAGAACACTGGTAAGACCCCACTTGGAGTATTGCATGTAGTACTGGATACCATATCTTCAAAAGGATATTAATACTTTAGAAAGAGTTCAGAGAAGGGCAGCTAAACTGGTTCATGGATTGCAGGATTAGACTTACTAGGAAAGGTTAAAGGATCTTAACATGTATTGCTTGGAGGAAAGACGAGACAGGGGGGATATGATTGAAACTTTTAAGTACAAAAATGGAATCAACACAGTAAAGGATGAGACTATATTTAAAAGAAGAAAAACTACCACAACAAGAGGACATAGGCCTATATTAGAGGGGCAGAGGTTTAAAAATAATTTCAGGAAGTATTACTTTACAGAGAGGGTTGTGGATGCATGGAATAGCCTTCCAGCTGAAGTGGAAGAGGTTAACACAGTGAGGGAGTTTAAGCATGCAAGGGATAGGCATAAGGCTATCCTAGACTTAAGATATCTGAGAGTCAAATAGAGGCATCAAATAGTGCGCTCACTGCGCAGTTGTAAACATTCTAATAGTGTTGCTGCTAATCTGCTGCTTACATTAGAGTTTTAAAAAGTCAATTTTTTTTTGGTGCTAAATAGTATATTTGGCATGTGCGCTTCATATCTGAGAGTCAAATCGAAGCATCAGATAGTGTGCTTATAGCGCAGTTGTAAAAATTCTAATTTTCTGGGTGCTAATTTGCTAAATAGTACATTTTGGGGCCTGATCTTCATATCTGAGAGTCAAATAGAAGTGTCTAATAAGTGGTAAACATTCTTATTTTCTGGGTGCTAATCTGCTAAATAGTACATTTGCGGACTGCACTTCATATCTGAGAGTCAAATGATAACTGTTTTACTGGTTACATTCATGACTACACACGCTAGTGAACAGGACATTCATGTAGTGTGTTCTTTTTTTAAAAATCATACAGCATCCTTTCATGTGCTTTCCAGATGTCATATTGTTAATTACCAATTTTTGCTTAGCCTGATTCTTTTTTAAAAAAAGTGTAAAATAAGTGTTACTGTGATCGCTTCATATACAGAAGCATTAATATACATTTCTATATTGTGTAAAAACACAACTACAAAGTTAAAAACCAAACACCAAAACAACGTGCCAGACAATCTACCTGTGCATAGCTAGTGTGATACAGTAAGTCTACATCTTAAAAATGCAATAACCCACAGAAGATGGGCAAAAATTTTTTTTTGCAAATGGAACTTTGATTCGAATTTACTACATCAGTCACTTGTAATATTGCTTCACACCTACAACACTTGTTACACAGATCTAAGTGATAGAAAACAGACTGATATTTTCTACACTAGAAACTACCAGATAACAAGCTGCTATATTTAAACCAGTTATCAATAGCTAAGAGGTACTTAAACAATATTGTAATTCTGGGGCAATACCCTCATAAGTCAAACTGAGAGGTCAGTTTATAGGGAAAACTGTTGCCTGGATACAATTCTAAAACAATTTCCATATGTCCTTTGCAGACTTTACATGCTGGAAAAACACAGGTGCCAACTGCTCTTGCTTTCTGCAGTGTGCATACCGGCAAGCAGGGCAGGGTTGAAGAGTGGGTGGAAGATGATGTGGAGGATGATGAGGTCCTAGACCCCACATGGAATCAAGGTCATGCGAGTGACGTGTGCAGTTTGGAGGAAGAGGCGCTGGTCGCACAGAGGCACCAGCACAGCAAAAGAGGGAGCAGGGTGCAAAAGCGGAGTGGCCATCCCCTGGCGCTTGTCGGCATGTATTAGCTCGAGAATTACCAGTTATCCAAGTAATACATGTAGCGAGCAAAGGATCCATAATAGAGTTGAGCGAACCCGAACTGCAAAGTTCGGGTTCGTACCAGATTTAACGACCCATTTGTAGTTTCACAGTCAGGTGGGCAGTCCGTTGACCAGGGCCCAGACACTGTCTGGGCGCCGTTCGGATGACCGGGACCCAGTATGCCTGATGTTGAAGTTAGGAGTCACAGTGTGGAATGGATTAGCAGGGTCTGGTGCAGGGTAACCACACGCCCCCTGGTTTTGAGCACCAGCATTTGTGCGGCCACATACCTGATGCAGCTTCAGTAAAAAGAGTACTGGATACCAGAAGCCTCGGAACAGGATGTGACATTCACTGTAGCGGCTGTGCGCACTTTTGGCGTTCTCACCCTGCTGCTGCTCACCTGTCTGTGCTGCAGCGTAACTTTGGACTTCCCGCTCACCACCTCATGAGACTGTGCAAGCAGCAGCATGCGATAGTGGAGTTTCAGCTGCACCACGCACAGGTCAGTGGCTCTGCACCAGACTTCCCTCCAATTGATCAGAGTTAAAGGATTTCAAGGGGACTCATTGCAATTACAGGGCCTCTAAAGAGTCCTGTATTGTTATTTGTCGTCACTACCTTCCTGCGTCAGGAGTGGGTTATTTGCGAGCCTGCTGCCTTCCTTCCATTTGGTAGCCGTTTCTCAGGGTCCCTGTATGGAATGGAACCCTGATTCCCCGTTACCTGTGGTCACCATAGTAGGTGCAGAAACTGGCATTGAAAGTTAATATGGATGACATCCGAATGCAAAATCGCCGTCACGGGGATGTGCGATTGGCCCGAGGTTCTCTAGAGTCAACAAAGTGCCTAAGCAACTATAATGTCAACAGCTACTTTGCGGAACAAAGTATATAAAAAACTGTGTTGGCTACCTCCTCCTCCACCGCCGCTTCCACCTACACCGCCACGGCCACCCCCTCCTCAACCTATGGGTCACTTAGTATAAACTATGTACACAATAGTAGAGGCTTTTTCTCCATGCATCAGGAGTTGAGCTCAGTTTGAACAATGAAAGAGAATACCCTGCACTCGAACTCTCTCTCAAATGGATAATTCTGGTGATCCTCCTGACAGCCATGCTTTAGATTTTGATTTATGTTCTTCCAAAGCTAAAATCAAAGATTCCATCTAGTGCTATTTATGTATTTTTTTTATTTTTATGTTATTTTAAGTGATTTCCCTATCCACATTTGTTTGCAGGGCACTTGTCCTACTCTTAACCCCATTTTACTTCCTTTTGCAGCTCCCTAGCCCTTACAGGAGTTTTTTAGAGGCATTTTTTGGCCAAAAGTTCAGGTCCCCATTGACTTAAATGGGGTTCGGGTTTGGGTCAAGTTCAATCATGAACCCGGACTTTATTTCAAAGTTCGGTCGAACCTGCCAGACCCGAACATCCAAGTGTCCGCTCAACTCTAATTACATTATATCATATCACCTTTTTAAGACCTTTTATTACTCGGTCTCCTATCTATATTACAATACTCCTCCCACTATTTTAAGTCATTTGTATGCAATACCACAAATTTTGTGCACTTTACTCTTTAAGGTTTTGTGGCGGATCGCCTGCCACCCCGACTGTCTACCTCCACCAATCTCACTTCCTAGTACTCATCAAGTACCATAAGCACCGCACCAGACACAATAACCACTGTATCTACATTAGCCATCGACGCTTGGTTGGGGTCTTGCTGTCCCTTCCCACCCTGGACCAAACACCTGGATCCAGCTCACAGTGAGAAGACCTCTCCTCCAAGAGAGTACCGCTGAATAGCCAATAAAAGAGCAAGTGATATAACAGTATAGCTGTTCCCCCCACACATGAGCCAAGGCTTAATGCTGGGAGTTATCTGGTTTATTGGAGGCCACACACAGCCTTTTATGCAAAAGCCCCATGCAAGGGGTTTCCAATACAAGAATTAAGGGAAATCCCTCCTATGATCCTTTGTGCATGAGAGATAATTATCTGAGAAGCAAACATATAATTAAATTATCTCTCAGGTACAAGAAACATACAATTTATAAACAGCCCAAAAGTACCCCCAAAATCAATAGAAACCCCACAAAAGTTACATTCTTGGATAGCCCCAATCTGGGTGACCAACATATCCATAAATCACCAAGATCGGTTCAGTGGTTCAGTTTTTCCATGGAAGTCAATTATTTGACCGGCCGCACACATGTGGTCCTATGCCCAAAACAGTTCTATGAAATCAGTGCTAACAGTCGATCTATTTCGGGAGTATAAAAGTGCATAAAATACCGAACAGAATCCATAGCGAATACCGAACAGTGCCCTTCTAAGTTGTATAGAACCGAACGCAGGTGATTATGGAAGTCCAGCGGTGCTCGGGAGTTTCAGTGTCCGATTTCAGTTCCATGAACTCGACGACCAAACACTGCTGCCTGCAATCATGTGAACACCTCGTGGTCGTTCATATGAATTGTGGCCACCCAGACGAACAATTAGATCACTGTGGTGGAACTCGTTACAAGATTTCAATTGGGCTTAACAAGCACACAGGTGGTCTCTGGTTCGTGCGGTTGTTTGGTTCTCGAACAATATAATCCCAAATCATGAACAGAGCCTTTTAAAGTGTATTTTATAGTGTATCTTGCAGGGCCCATAGTCCTGAGGCAGGAGGCTGGCAAGCAGGCTCCTACAGGGGCCCATGGCGAGGTTATGTTCGCCACATGTTTATATCCATACTGTATATAAAATACCAAGCAATATTTTGTATTATGTCTTTAACAGAATGGTGCAATACTCAGATTATTGCTATCTAACGATATGCTTTTATTGTAATGACTACTATAGATGCACCTTATTCTCTATGTATTTTATAGTTATATTTACACTCAATTCAATACATAGATTATTTAGATTTAATGGTATGTTTTTTTGAAATGAGTATTTATATCAGTTTTGGCCCCCTTTTAAAATGGCCATCTAACCTCTTCTTTTCCCTCTGATTTGATGCTGGTTACATATACATATATATATATATATATATATATATATATATATATACCTATAGGTCATATTTGGGCTTGTCACTGTATTTGTGTCGTCACGCTACCCCCACAACATCATAGACTTCTCCAGCATTAATAATTTATATATTATCTACAGCCAAATAAGTAACATAATCATTTTGTTCACATAAAGATATAAATATATATATATATATGGAGAAATGCATCAAGTGGAACTCATATTATTTTATACCTTTCTATGGTTTTATAATTATTTTGTTTAAATAAAAGTTAACTTTTTTATAGTTATCTATCTTTCATTTACCTTTTGCTTCCTGGTACTATCACATCCCTAGGTGGGGATTATACCACCTATGCTGTTTATATCAGAGTAAGTTCTGCTCTGGAAAATGTAAATACTTTACCTTATTTCCTATTTTATTTACAAGTACTTACTTCACTATTGGAGTTTCTCTTTTTTGTATTTACCTTCACATATACCACGCATATTGCATCGCATTTGGAGCACGTGTGTCGACCACATCACCATATATCCTTAGATGGGGATTATACCGTCCATATGTATTACAGCTGAACGCTAAGGTAGCTCAATAAATATGAGTGGATTTCATACAGATCCACAAACTTGATTATTGTTTATATCAAACTGTATTGCACTATTATTTTGTTTTCTTGTTGTTCTGGGGTCTAATGTGTTATACCATCTGAAGATTTATGTACGTATATTTTTCGTATGCTTAAATTGGGCACAGCATAAGCTATTTATTTTGTTATTATTCATTATGTATCTATTAACAAAAAGAACAGCAAAAAGTAAAAAAAAAATGAAGAAAACAAAAAGAATGAAAAATAACCTTAAAATTACTAAAATTATAGGATAAGTACTGCCAACCCCCCTGCCCCCCAATCAATCGCTACTGTTAAATCTAATTTTTTTATGGGTTTTGACATGTCTCATAAACATGTGGGATTTGGAAGAGCCCAAAAATAAAAAAATATAAAAAACAACAAAACAAATAAACAAATGATGTGACATACTAGAGTCTATGGATCCCAGGCATCCTTTTATAATGTACTTGTTTTATTTATCTTTCAGGACAATTGAACAGTGGGGTGCATCATGCGGTGCTCTGCTGTGTTATTGAAAGGGTTGACAAGGCTCCTACGTGTAGTCAGATCGCTCTATCCTGGTCCAACTAGACAGAGCATTCAGGCCCCAAAAATGGGCTAATAAATATGGAATGGCTTTATGGTTCCTGTGATTTCTGATAAAGTGCATCTACTCTCTTCAGAATAGCTATTAACTGGCAACTCCCGACCTACAAAAATACCAACTACCACTGTCCTCCCCAAAAAAGCAACAAATTAAGCTCATTAGTTATTTAGTTTTAATGTCACTTATATTGCATGATTATTTTCTATTGTTTCACTGATTTCATTTAGGCACTTAGTGAGAGATGCAGATATTTAATAGTCCTTAGACTATAAACACGTAGATGGTTTCAAAAGTTTTAAAAAGTTAAAACATTTGTAGGAATACACTTTCCAGAGGTTTTTCTAGACTGAGAGCAGGAATATATAAGCTTTTCACCCCATTAAAGGATTCATTCCTCTTATGTCATAAACAAGAAAGTCTTCCTTCAGCACACACTGCAGTGAAGGTGCCTCTCCACAGAGGCCAATCATTTCAGCTTTGAATAGAAAATATTTTGAAAAATTTTGTTTGAGATTTATTCAAGACGTTTGTTTGAACTTGGCTCATACTCGCTCAATCCACAAAGAGATGAAAGATAGGAAATACAAAATTTCTTCCAATTAAAAAAGAAAGCCAGATGAAGTCATCTTGATCTGACCCGTAGATCCCTGTTGGTGGTTGCTAGCTTTAAAGTATTGCTCCATGGTAGCAGTGATTGCCTGGGTTGCTGAGCTATATCAAACCTCTAAAAAGGGTGGAAGAGCAAAGAATTGTATGAATAGGTTATTTAGGTGGGGGGAGAATGCAACGTGATTGATTGGGGCTGAGTAACATACAAGAGGTAGCAAATGGATGTGAGCCCTGAAATATGATATACTGTATGACATATCAGTGTATGTGTGCATGGGAAACTTGCGTTACACAGGGAAGGAACACTTTATGCAGCCATAATCCTGGCTTACTGAAACTTCTTTTCAGTGATGCTACTACTAAGGATGGGAAGAGGCATTGAAAATGTTTATGAAGTAAGTTGGTATGGGAATTTTAAATTTGTAAAGTAGAATATTTTAAAATTTTCCACAACATATATCAAAAACATAAAAATAACTCTCAGAAAATGTTACTTTAAGACATATCACTAAAAAAGGATTATCTCACATTATTTCACATACTCTAGCAGGCTTATTTTTTTGTTCAGTTTTTCCATTCGGATTTAATTCACAAAACTTTAGAGTATAGAATCTAAAGTTTTGTGTATTAAATTCCAATGGGAAAAAATAAGACAAAAATAGTTGATCTGGACTAGATTATTCAACCCAGCCGTAGTCACAACTTAGTCTTTTTAAAAACTTTGTATAAATAATTATTTTATGCTGCATTTTTCAGTTTTGTTTCATATGTATTACAATGTATTAGTAAAATTCTTACATTAGAATATAAACTGTGCACCCAGATAATAAAATGAGCCTTGCTTTAACATTGCAGGAGAGAATACAAGAGCCAAAATGTTACACTAAAAGTCAGTGTTTTGTTACACATAGCTAAAATAATTTCCAATTATGTGTACACTATTTAAAAATTCTGAAGCTAACATAAAATTATAACTGAGGACTGATTTTCTTTATAAGCTAATACTTTTTATTTTTAGGTATTAAGGCAAAAATACTTGTATGGAGTTGCTGTGTACAT